CTGTTCAAGCAAACGCAGTGTAGGATAATCCTCCATTAGACGTAGCGGAAACTTCAAATGCATTGCAGGCAGTCAGTGGATGCAGGTGGCTCAGGACCATTCTTTATGGCGGTCTATAGGGAGGCTTATGTCCAACAGTGGACGGGTAATGGCTGAAATGATGATGATGATGATATAATTTGCATAAATATGATTGAAATAGATCTTAATTAGTATTATGGAATCACATATTATAGCCCCATTGTTATAATGGCGTGTAATAATACTAGATTATGTTTACCAGAGGGAGACTTTGTACAAAAGTCGTTTGCTTGGCCACCTCTGTCCCATTCGTGTTTCAACCGTGAAGCAGTTGTGTTTGCATGGCTGTGTTTCGATTTGAAGGGTGGGATATGGCAGTGAATTTACAGGGTACAGAATAACACCTGAGTCCTCAGGAATGGCAACGCATGGGGGGTCTCATGGGCGAAACAGTATACTGTGTCAAGTCCATAATACTGCTCATGTCTATAGGCGACGGTTACCACTTTCCATTAGGCGAGCCGTCAGCTTGTTTGCTATTTTAAGTTGCATAAAAAAAAATATGTATGTTTTGAGCTGTGTCAAGAGTATGCTCATGTATTTTTCCCCCTTAATGCTTTATAAATACGTATGGTACAGACCGACAAAACGAAATGTAAAACGTATCCCAGATCAGACTCCCTCCTCTAGTAATCACGTAGGAACAGTCACGTTGTAATTGTAGTGGGGTTGGACGTGCGCGGGACGGGTTTATGCAATAAATATACATAATAAACAAATACAAATTTTTTTTTTATACAACTTAGAATGGCAAACAAGCTGACGGCCCACCTGATAAAAAGTAGTAACCGTCGCCTATAGACATGAGCAGTACCACGGACATAACAGAGTATACTGTTTCGCCCATGATACCCCCCATTTGCCATTCCTGAGGACTCAGGTGTTATTCCTCTGTACCCAGTAAATTCACGCTATATCCCACCCTTTAAACCAAAACACAGCCATACAAACACAACTGCTTCATGTGTGTGTGTGTGTGTGTGTGTGTGTGTGTGTGTGTGTGTGTGTGTGTGTGTGTGTGTATTTAGCGTAAGTGTGTGTGTGTGTGTGTGTGTGTGTGTGTATGTATGTATGTATGAATGTATGTATATGTGTGTGTATGTGTATATGCATGCGTATATTTGTGTATTGGTGCATATGTTTATATTTATTATTAAACTAGCGGCCCGTCCCTGCGTCGAACGGGTGGACATTTTTAAATTTTAAAAAGTGGCCATTAAGGCTGCACACGCGACGGAAGCTTAAAAATGGAGTAACTTCTCCCGTATTTCCAACATTTCCCTTCACTGCTCTGCTCCTATCGATCGTAGCGTGATGAAAAGTATACTATAACCTGCCCAGGAGTATGAAGAATAATTGTACCAACCAAGTTTCGTTAAAATCCGTCGAGTAGTTTTTGTTTCTATAACAAACATACAGACAGACAAAAATTTTACTGATTGCATTTTTGGCATCAGTATCGATCACTAATCACCCGCTGATAGTTATTTTGGAAATATATTTCATGTACAGAATTGACCTCTCTACAGATTTATTATAAGTATAGATGTATATATCTATTATAAAAATATTGTGACTTCAACGATTGCTTACCTATTTGATTCGTTTATTTTTTCTGCGTTTCCTTTAACAGTTATTGTGCACGACGCACCTTTTTAAGTTTCTTTTTTTTAATTTTATTAAAAAGATGTTCTTTTTATCATTTGAAGTCTGTGTCAGTTTAGGTTTTGTTTTTGCCTTCGCTTTTTTGCTCCGTTGGTTTGCTATGTATATTTTTTATATAATTATATTATATTTCTAAAACACCGTGTTTCCATACCAGCATACAGTCCTTTCGCCCACAGTTATCAATTACATAATCTACAGAATTTAATTTAGAAAAACCTGTTATTGGCCATACTACTTTGTTATAAAATATTTGATAATTTTATTTATTTTATTTGCTGTTGGTTTTTTTTTTTAAATAAATAAATAAAACAAGTACAAATAGACGTATAGGTACACAAAGGGAGGCGAAGTTTAAGTCGCTTAAGACTTCAAAGCTCAAATTACGGATGAATTAACTAAAGTTTCATCCCAACCGTGCGTTTTTCAAGGCATTTCCTTCCACGCACAACCACTCTTTGGAATCAACTTCCAGCAGCAGTATTACCGAACCGATACGACAACATAACCTTCAAGAAAAGAGTATATTCCTTTTTAAAAGGCCGGCAGCACACCTGCAATGCCGCTGGTGTTGTGGGTGATCATGGGCGGCGGTAGTCACTTACCATCAGGTGAGCCGCACGCTCGATTGTCCCCTGTGTTGTAAAAAAAAATTGAGAATTTTCCCTGTTTATAACTACTATCTCATTGTAATCTTTTGTTGTAATTGTTTATATTTATAATAAGTTTACTATTTTAATCTTATGGAGGAAACAATAAAGAGTATCTATCTATTTTCCCTTTACAGCATGGGGTTCTTCAAAAGGTGGGTAAAGAGGTTTCTTCAGGGCCGGCAACGCGCGCGTAATGCCTCTAGTATTGCAGGCGTTCATAGGCTACGGTAACCGCTTACCATCAGGTATTGTTTGCCATCTTAGTAATATAAAAGAATAAATATTTATTTAAGTTATCTAAGTTACAGAAAAAAACTGGCCACATATTGCATACGCCTGTCCATAAGCGGCGTGAAACGCACCAAGCTTTTAAATTTCACTTAGCACTCGCACAAGAATCGTTCGTAACTCGAATATAAATATATCGAAACAATTGTATTCGTCTGATACGAACTCATAGGGGATGGTAAGGCTGTTTACTCCCAAAAAAGAAAAAAGAAAAAACAAGTAAGAAATATTTTTATTCAAGTTTAAAAAGATTTTTTTTTTAAATCCTATCGCCCATTCGGTAAGCAATTACAGCTGAGAAGAATGGGCTAAAAACTCAGCTGTTTTTCAAAAATTTAAATATATCTTAGATTATATACCATAAATACTTCAAGAGAAACGGATCAACTTTTTCATACAATTTTGCGTGATAAATAGTTACCGAGTGATTCCTTTATAACTTCTATATTTATTTTGTCTTATAATTTCTGCATCTTTCTAATGTGTAAACACTCATTTTGTTTATTAAACAATACGTCAAGATACATTGTGTGCGTAAGTATATAGAACACTGATAAAGAAACGAGTGAATGAATGATGAATGAATGAATGTATGATTTTTTTTTAATATTATTTTAAGGGCTTTTACCTTCTTCAGGTACATCAGTCCTATCGTAGCCTGAACTGATTTCTCAAACAAAACTTTATCTACTTTCCCTAGACGCGGAAAGAGAAGAATTAATGGGCATATTAATTCTTCTAGTATGGAATTAATGGTTTACAGAGAAATATTTATTTGCAAGAAGAAAATGTATGAATATATATTTACTATATGTAAATATACAGACAGATAGAATAATATTAAGTCCACATATTTCGCCACAATTAGGTATGCAAAGTTTATATATAATATATTGTGGTCTAATTGTATTATACCTAATTGTATTATATAGGGGGGAAAGGGATTGTTAGCAATGGAGTTTGACAGCCCCATTGTTAGCAATTTACCCTATTAGGTCGACCTCCACGTGGTTCCCCCTGGAAACCATCGTGAACAGTTCTTATTGAATTCGTCACGATGGGCTAACTGGCCTGCTTCATCCTCACCTATCATCCTTCACTGGTGCCCCGCCGGTGTATACCGTTAGCGCGGGTGGGGTTACCATTCCATTATCACCCATTAAAAAAAAATTATTATATATCATCATCATCTTCCTACCCTTATCCCAATCATTTGGGGTCAGCGTAATAAGATTTTATCCATATTACAAAAAGATATGATTCTTAGTTTTACGACCGGCCACCTGCCTGACGTCAACCCTCTTTGGGAATGCATTTGTTGGTGGTTTCCGCCACCTACGGTATTGTGGAAAGGATTGAGGAAAAAAGGAAGGGAACGTTGGAAATGCGTAAAGGAAATTGGTGAATGAGCGGAATAAGAGACTTATGTGGGAAAGGAAAGGGGGGACACACTGCAGTTGCGGAAAGGACTGGGACACTGCAGCGGCTCGGGAGGCCGGGGTCGCATACCCGTATGCCCTTATTCTAGAATCGGACAGATTTCTTGAGAAGAACACTCCTAACGCCTAATTGTATTATATATAAATACACATAATGTTAACAGCGATTTAAAAGAGTAACTGTTGAGTTTCTAGCGGCGTCCTCTCAACAGATAACGACTTTCCGAACGCTGCAGTAGATTAAAAAAAACAATGACATAACATTATCAGTTTAAAATAGAAGTAATTATTTTTTTTTTAGATTAGATCGTGTTCAAACGTAGTGAGATATATTGTAATTGATTGATTTATTTTATTATATAAACACCGAATGACTTATGTAAATTAACCAATTGATTATTAAAATTTGACATTCAAATACTTCTATATTTTATTATATATGTATATATATCTAATATATAAAATTCTCGTGTCGCGGTGTTTGTTACCAAACTCCTCCGAAACGGCTTTACCGATTTTTATGAAATTTTGTGTGCATATTGGGTAGGTCTGAGAATCGGCCAACATCTATTTTACATATCCGTCAATGATAAGGGTGACCCACCCCAAAATATTTTATTTATTTTTTTTACAATTTTTTTTATTTTTCGTTTATTATAATTTAGCATTGAAAAATACATACAACTTTAAATTTTCATCGTGTTACGATCAACCCCTGTATTTTAATCGCGATTTTTATACTTGTAGTGGTAAAACAACGTTTACGAGGTCAGCTATATATATATATATATATCGTATATATTAATAATTTTGAGCACAATATGTGTGTGTGTGTGTGTGTGTGTGTTTCTTATGATGACGTACAAAAACTTACCCGGTAGATGGCGTTAGGAAGCGAACGTTTGACGGGTCAATCAGTAAATACAAGTTCTTAGTCACGTTTCCTTGTTGTGACATTGTAAGCTTATGTCCACTGTCACATAGATAGGATATCACTTAATTATCAATACTTTATCTATACTGTTTTACGCAGATATCAATGACTTTACTACTTACTATGAATTTGTAAGGTCTCCCGTGTCAAAGATTAGTATTTTTTTTTATGCAGCTTAGAAATGAATGGTAACATGGACATAATAGAATATATTTTTTTTTTATGGGTGAAATTGATATGGTAACCCCGCCTGCGCTAACGGAATACGCTGGCGGAGCACCAGTGAAGGGTGATAGATGAGAATGAAAACAGGCCAGTTAGCCCATCATGACGAATTCATCAGGAATTAACCATGATAGTTTCCAGGGAGAACCGCGAGGAGGTCGACCTGGTTGGGTATATTGCTAGCAATGGGATTCTCGGTCTCCATTAGTAACAATCCCTTTCCCCCCAATAGAGTATACTGTGCCGTCTGTGATAGCCTGCATGCGTTGACATTCCTGAGGAGTATGGTATTTTTTTTATAAGTATGGTAGCCCCGCCTGCACTAACAGTATTCGCTGGCGGGGAACCAGTGAGGGATGATAGGTGAGAATGAAAAGGCAGGTCAGTTAATCCATCGTGATGAATACACCTGGAATTAAGTACGATAATTTGGGGGGAGGGGAGGAGGAGGTCGATCTAACAGGGCATTACTATCGTCCTAGTAATCCGCATCACTAACATCCGTTAAAAAAACAACACAACACCCTTTATTTCAACGCAGTCGGCTATCAGGAAGTGCGACATAAATGCTTCAGTAATCTCGCTTCAGTGTGCAGTGAAGAGAGACGTAAATCTATGCAATCATATCGTAAGGCGGGTGCACCAATTATGGGCAGACAATTTTATAATTATTTTTATAAATGTGTCTAGTTGTTCTAAATTTAAATTTCGAATCGATCTTGTTATTTTCTTAACACACACACGCACGCACGCACTCACGCATGCACGCACGCACGCACGCACGCACGCACGCACACACACACATGTATAATATAACAAAATCTTGTCCAATTTAACCCCAAAAAGACACAAGTCTGCGCGTTTACGCAAAAAAGACGCCGTTTGTCGTTTTCACTTTCAGGGCACTTCCCTTGATAAAAAGTCAAGTCTAGGAATTCTGGGCGTTGATATATCTTGCGACGTCCAGTTTTGCGGTCATCTGGAGGAGAAGGCTAAGATAGCTTCCAAAAAGTTAGGAGTGCTCAATAGGGTGAGACGATATTTCATGCCAGAACACCGCCTGAAATTATATAAAGCCCAAGTCAGGCCGCATATGGAATACTGTTCTCACCTGTGGGCAGGAGCGCCACAGTACCAACTCCTTCCGTTAGACCGCATTCAAAGTCGGGCGGCTCGATACTTCACTTACCATCAGGTGAGCCGCATGCTCGTTTGCCCCCTGTGTTGTAAAAAAAAAAAAAAAAAAGCTGAATTTTTTTAACAAAACACACACACACACACACACACACATTTAAATTTTGACGAACACTTATAAGAATCCGGAAATGGATTCTTATTTTTTTTTTATATATTTATTTAGAACTACTAACAGGATTATAATGCAATATGAATTTACAACGGATTCCTATTTTTTATTTAAATATTTATTTATATACGACTACTAACAGAATTACAATACAATATGAATTTATAACGGATTCTATATATATATATATATATATATATATATATATATATATATATATATATATATATATATATATATATATATATATATATATATATATAAATATAAGAACTGACACTTTGGGTATATTAATATTTAACTCCGTTTATATATTAATATTTTTGTTATACATTTATTTATTTGACCGATTTCTGATTTTGACAACTTTATTTGCAAAACAATCATTAAGATTACTCCCGTGTCCGTCGTGTTATATACATTTTATGACTATTTTTCTTTGCTGCAAAAAGAAATCTTTTACAAAGCTATAAGTGATTTTTATTTTCTAATATGTCAACGAAGCATCTCTTCATATTCGCATGTTTTGACATTCGCAAAGGGAATCAAAACCTATATAGGGTACTTCCCTTTGATCTAGAATCATGAAATTTGGCAAGAAGCAATGTCATGTTTTTTTTTTGTTGGGTGAAAATGGTATGGTAACCCCGCCTGCGCTAACGGGATACGCTGGCGGAGCACCAGTGAAGGGTGATAGATGAGAATGAAAACAGGCCAGTTAGCCCGTCATGATGAATTCATCAGGAATTAACCATGATAGTTTCCAGGGGGAACCGCGAGGAGGTGGCCTTGGTTGTGTATATTGCTACCAATGGGAATCTTAGTCTCCATTACTAACAATCCCTTTCCCTCCAACAATTTCATGTAGCACAAGTAAAGGAAACAATCCGAAAACCGTAAATTTGTAGTTATTTCACAAAAAAAAAATTTAACTCGACGATTTTGTACGGAACCCTCGTTGCGCGAGTCCGATTCTCGGTTTACCGACTTTTTTTAAGCTTATCTTGTTTGCAACCGTGCAAACGATCAATTACCTGTTTCTTGGTACTAATGCGTTAATTACACCTATATGTGCATTTTATTATATACCTACCTATACTGTAAAGTGTCCAAATTATATTTAATCCACTAATCTGATAAAAAAACTCCTTTGGTGGTATAATTAAATTAAATATGATACCTAATCCCTTTAGACCGGGGGGAAAGGGATTGTTAGTGATGGACACTGAGAATCCCATTGCTAGCAATATACCCAACCAGGTCGATCTCCTCGCGGTTCCCCCTGGAAACTATCATGGTTAATTCCTGATGAATTCATCATGATGCGGCTAACTGGCCTGTTTTCATTCTCATCTATCACCCTTCACTGGTGCTCCGCCAGCGTATCCCGTTAGCGCGGGCGGGGTTAATCTTGCGATCTAAAATAATTAAGATTGTCCTCCACAAAAAAAAAAACAGTTATTTTTGTTAAAAAAAAAAAAACTAAACTACTGATCCGATTAACTGTAATAACATTTTTTTTTAAATATCTTAATTTATTATTATTATATAATTTAATATTTTTTAAAAAAAAAAAAATAACCTGTCAAAACGCGACGGCCGAGTACACGGGCCGCCACCCCATTATAATGAGATTCGGATGTAAACATCTGTCTCGGATTGGATTAAGATATTATTCCGCTGGCTGTCCACGGCGCGCTTACCCCCGCCTTGAGAATTACAATGCTTTGTTTATTATTTTGGAATTAAAACACGAGGGAGACTTTGTACAAAAGTCGATTGCTTGGGTACCTCTGTCCCATTCGTGTTTCAACCGTGAAGCAGTTGTGTTTGCATGGCTGTGTTTCGGTTTGAATGGTGGGATATGGCGTGAATTTGCTGGGTATAGAGGAATAACATCTGAGTCCTCAGGAATGGCAACGCATGGGGGGTATCATGGGCGCAACAGTATACTCTGTTATGTCCATGGTACTGCTCATGTCTATAGGCGACGGTTACCACTTTCAATCAGGTGGGCCGTCAGCTTGTTTGCCATTCTAAGTTGTGTAAAAAAAAAGGTATTTTTTAATGTGTGATAATGGAATGGTAACCCCACCCGCGCTGCCGTATACACCGGCGGAACACCAGTGAAGGATGATAGGTGAGGATGAAGCAAGTCAGTTAGCCCATAGTGACTACGTGGAGGTCGATCTAATAGGGCATATTGCTAACACACCCGCGCAAACAACTGCTTCACGGTAGAAAATAGTATAACAAGATTTAGTTGTTTTATTATACAAATAGATATACAAGTTGTAAACAAGAAAAAGTACACCGACTTCAGACGTGGCGAAATCGTGCATTTCGATTTAAAAACCAAACTGTTTTTCCTGAAATTATTATGGGACCAATCTAAAAGTACATTCTTTCGAATAACAAAAAATGTTTTCGACTTCATTTATAAATGACAGAGTTCTGAGGTAACGAACTTAAAAATAATACGACCGAATTAAGAAGCTCCTCCTTTTTTGGATGTCAGTTAATAAAACCATACTAATAACTTAGACGAATTAATGCTTACGATTACACCACTTGAATTTAAAATAACGACCAATCAGTAATGTTGCCATTTGCTTGCGCACTAACGCCATCTATTATCGAATAGACCATAACAGGATTTTTGTTTCTTTCAAATAAATCGACTTCCTAATTTCTGTACATGGGTTTATAAAAATTTTAATTACTGTATACTAGCTATGAACGTAAGCATAATCATTGTAAAAGAAAAATCTCTACTAATTTGAGATTGTGTTATTTTGAATAACTGTAATAATAGTAAGTAACGAAAATCTAATCGACACACGTTGACAATAATTTTATAATTGACATCAAAACATAGGAAAATACAGTGTCATAATGTAATTAACGACTTTACAAAGATCCTACTAGCGCCATCTATTGGGTGGTTGGACGTACTAAAACAAAATGAAAGCCATGCTATTTTCGTCCGTTACTAGTGTCATTAAATGGCGGATTTAATTCAAGTTCAAGGAAAAATCTTCAGATGGCAGGTATTAGGGTAGATTCAGACGCCCCATTTTCTAATTTTATTTTTAATAAGATTTTACCTACAATACAAAAAAAACCGTCTTCAATTGTGACAAAACCTATTATTTTGGTTTAAACATTAAACAACTAAACCGATTTTGTTAAAATGAACATGGGGTTAATCTGTAAGTGCATCCTTTCAGATAAAAAAAAAATACTTATCCAAATCGGTTCAAAACTGACGGAGTTATGAGGTAACGAACGTAAAAAAATACAGACCAATTTATTTTTTTATACCACGAAGGTGGTAAACAAGCATACAGCCCGTCTGATAATAAACGGTCACTGTAGCCTATAAATGTTATTTATTTATTTATTTATTTACAAGAAACATGGTAAGTGTATAGATGTTACAATAAGTATAAGTTCTCATATTTCGCCATAATTAGGCATGCAAAAATTTAAAAATAAAAAGAATAAATGTTAAATAAGTTATTAAAATTCGAAATGTTATATAAAAAAAAATACATCAAAAGTGTCAGACACTTGTCAACAATAAAAAAAGAAAGAAATGCCACTGTCAAATCACGGACTATTGATGACAGCTGCATTGTAACACGATAAGTAATTCAAGTAGGTTGTTTACCTTTTTGTATCAAAAACTCTTGCACACTGTAAAAGGCCCTAAACAAGCCAATGTTTTAATGAATCTTTAAACAACAACAACAGACTGTGAAGAAACCTTAATATTCCCTTTTTGACTCCATACTCTAGGAAAAACCGCAGCTCATTCCACAGCCTAAGCATTTGCGGAAGAACTTGCCTTTAAGGAGAGTTGCGAATTGGCAACCGCAGTTAGGCTTTGGTGGTGTTTTAAGAGAGACGCTACTACCTATCACTCGACTATAAATTAGTACTTAGTCATCTCTTACGACACACGGGAAAGGAT